GTAGGAGAGGGTGGTGCTGAGAGGAGAGCGTAAAAATATATATACTTACCAAAGGGGCGGGTTTGCGATCCAGACGCGGCCCCGGTGCTGCAGTACAGCTTCATCGAGCAGACCCTGCAGCCCGGGCCCTCCGTGTCGCTCAAGTGCTCGGCCGGCGGCCAGCCCACGCCCACCATCGCGTGGAGCCTCGACGGCTTCCCGCTGCCCACCAACCACCGGTACGGATCAGTGCACTGCTGCATGTTTAAAATATTCCAAAAAATTAATTAGAATCTCATGGCTGAGCTTTTATCCGTGTCATCGCGGATTCCTTTCTGTCAAAAAAATAATAGCCACAATATTCTTATTTTTAAGACAGGCTTTTTTTTTACAGTGAGTCTGATTTTATTTTTAAATTTTCAACGACTTTGCTGACTATGTGCATCCGTGTGCAGCTTCCTGATCGGGCAGTACGTGACGGTGCACGGCGACGTCATCAGCCACGTGAACATCAGCCACGTGACGGTGGAGGACGGCGGCGAGTACCGCTGCGTGGCGGAGAACCGCGCCGGCCGCGCCCACCACGCGGCCAGGCTCAACGTGTACGGTGAGCATCCACAACATACACAGATTATTTATTTTTGAAAAAAAGGATTTCTTTACGTATCGTTTTAACCAACTAACTGGAATAATACAAAACAAATGTTACAGGCGCATTAAAAATTCTTTAAACCGAAAATCGCCGAAAACTTGTGTTGTGAATACTTGTGTCCGTCTGTCGTCAGGTCACCCTTACATCAGGCAGATCCCCAAGGTGACGGCGGTCGCGGGCGAGACGATGGAGATCAAGTGTCCCGTGGCGGGCTACCCCATCGAGGAGATCAAGTGGGAGCGAGGTGCGTCTGGCCGCGTCGTGTTGGTGGTGGTGGTGATGGTGGTGGTGGTGGTGGTGGTGGTGGTGGTGGTGGAGGTGGTGGTGACCTTGACCCGCTGACCCCCCGCGTCCCTTTACAGGCAGCACGGAGCTGCCCGAGGACCTGCGGCAGAAGGTGACGCCGAGCGGCGTGCTGGTGGTGGAGCGCGTGCAGAAGGCGGCGGACGGCGGGCTGTACACGTGCACGGCGCGCAACAAGCAGAGCCTGTCGGCCAGGCGCAGCGCCGAGGTGGAGGTCATCGGTAAGTGCAGAAAACAAAAACGCGGGACAGTTTGTTCTTATCGATTTAAAAAAATGTTATAACACTATGGTCCCTGAAACAAAGTACTGTTTATAATTCCATTTTAGCAAACTTATGTCTTTTTTAACAACTTTGGTTTTGGTTTAATCTGTTGGTAATGAAACGCAACGTTATAGTTTTCCCTTAATTCCCCTTCAAAGCATAAGAAACGAACATTAACGATTGCAGTACACATTTTCTTTTACTCCAAATTCTGGCATAGAAACGTTTCGTTATTTCGCCATCAGAGTCGTTTGATTTCCCCCTCTCAATGTCTCTTGTCGTGGAGTGCCTCAGCCCTTTCCGCCTGTCCAGCTCCCCCGAAGCTGAGCCCGTTCGGGCCGCCGCTGTCGGCGCACGAGGGCGAGCGGGCCTCCATCACGTGCTCCGTGGTGTCCGGCGACAAGCCGCTGCACCTGCAGTGGCTCAAGGACGGGCTGCCGCTCGAGACGGTGCACAGGGTCGACGAGTACAATAGCATTCTGTTGATCGAGAGTCTTTCACGCGAACACAACGGCAGCTACACGTGCTCGGCGAGCAACGGCGCGGCCGAGGTGACGCAGACGCAGGAGCTGCTCGTCAACGGTACGGGGGGAACGGCCACGGCCTTCGCGGCGGCCTCGACTCGGCGGCTGTAGCCTGCTGCTGCACGAGCCTCCTCAGGGCGCCGGGCGGGTTCGGGGGCGGCGCGGGGCGGCGGCGGTGGGGCGGGTGGACGCCGCCGGTCGGGGGCAGGGGGGCATGCACGGCCCGGCCCCCCTCACAGGCCTGAGCCTCCTCACCGCCCCCCTCTCCGCGTCACCCGTTTAAGTATTTGAGAGAGCGTTTATTTGACTTTTTGGCTGCTCTCGCAATTAGTACGAACCCGGCACCCTGGTCTGGAGGCTAAACGTAGATACTTACTTTTTTTGTAACATCTGTAATGTTGTATTGTTGTGGATTGCTCCGTATTGTTCATATTCTTTTACTCTTATTATTATTTTTTGTTTATTATATACTACGTAATTTCTTCTCTTCATCTTTTTTCCTTTTACTCTGGTGCTGCAAGTGGAAGATGCGTATGACTTTTTGGCAGAGTATCGTCGTCGAGGTGCTACCCCTTCCCCGCAATGGCTCCCCTTTCCTCTCCCTCATCCTTGCCCCTGTCCTCACGCTTATCCACAAAACGAGTCGACCCACAGCCACACTCGGAAAATCTGTGGCTACTTTCCCCCCATCCGGTCTTCGCGCTCCGTCCTGCTCTCTCTGTCTCTCTCGCTCTCTTTTCTCTCTCTCACTCTCTCCTCCACTTTTATTTCTCTCCCCTCTTCTTCTTGTCGGTTCTCTCTTTCTTCCAGTTCCTCCCGTAATTGAGCCTTTTAAATTCCAAGACGGGCTTTCTGAGGGCATGCGTACGCGCACCGTGTGCGGGGTGAGCCGCGGGGACACCCCGCTCAGCATCCGCTGGCTCAAGGACGGCGAGCCGCTGTCGCAACACATGAGCGCGAGCGTGTCCCAGCTGGACCAGTACGCCAGCATCCTCAGCATCCCCCACCTGTCCGCCGCCCACTCGGGCCAGTTCACTTGCGTAGCGTCCAACGCGGCCGCAGAGGTCAGGTACACGGCCGAGCTCAGCGTCAAAGGTAGGTGGACGAGCGGCCCGCCGACAACCCCGTCAGGGGGCTCGTGTGTGCGGGCGGGGAGGAGAGGGGCGAGCCGGAAGCAGTTAGCGTAGAACGGCACCGAAAGTGAGGCGATCATGAGCTGTCACAGCCCTTTTATAACGATTAGAAGGACGACTAACTTGGAACTTTTTTTCCTGTACAGTTACATCGTTACATACAGTTCTTATACTGTCTTTATACCTCTTCTTTGCTCGTTGCCATCAAAAATAATGATGAACAATTTTATTCCTTAAAAATTGAAGTTGGTCTAAATTTCGGCGCAACCTACGGTGCTGCTCAGCCGCAGCCACTTATTTCGAATTTCGTCACAAATAAATCGCACTGCTGCGATGTGAATATTGATGTGCAGCCTCGCAGCCTCCAGCCGCTCGGTGCTCCGGTCCGTCCCCCCTCCTTGCCCTTCCCCACCCCCTCTATGTGCCCTGCGTTCGTGTCCGTCCAGTTGTCCGTTGCGATTTGCTTATATGGCGTTGCACTCCCCCGTTGTCGTCTTTGGATCACCAAGGTAACCGTTTTTTGTGAGCACATCCTTCTCTTTTCCTTTCTCTCTTTTTCTACCTTCTTTCTGTACCTTTTCTGTTTCCTCGTCTCGTGTGCTTTTGACTCTATTTTTTTCCTCTGACCTTCTTATACTTCTGTCTTGGTGCCCCTGACACAGTGCACGCTTTCGTGATCGTCTGTGATTGTTTGAGTTCTGTCTTTGGGACTTACGTAGAGCTCCGTTTGTGTTTCTTAGCGGTTTGATGCATGCGCGTGTGTTATCGTGAGAGAATGAACTATTGTCACGTCTGGTGTGTATTATTTTTCCGCTTCTTACTCTAGTCCTGCATGGTGTTTTCTTTGTACAGTAGTGTTGTTTCGTTTTCTTTTATACATGTGACAAGCGTCAATCGTTGTCCCAAACTAAATGTGCACCCCCCCAAGTTTCGTGAGAAACCACCCACCACCACCGCTTTGCCGGCACGCACGTTCGTACGCTCGTACTCGGTGGGTGTCCGCGTTCACGCACTGGCGCGTTCCGGCACGTACCGGCACGTTCGGCACGTACCAGCGTCGTCGTGCGCCTGTCTGTGTCGCGGCTATGTGTGTGTATGTGTGTAACCCTCTCCCCTCCCCAAACCATCGATAATATCGATGTCATCAATTTTATTTATCGTTATACAATCATTATAAGCTTAATATTGATGAAATGGTCAACAACTTGAATGTCTCATAAAAAAGGAAAAATTGTTTCTGGCACTACTTTTTAAACCTACATCTGGCCACAAATCAACCAATCGCTTTCCAATTCTACATGTGTATGAAAAATAAAAG